TGATGTTAAAAGTTCAGGGATCATAAAAAGTTACATATAAGAAACTATATTTTCAAATACTAATACTGCTTCATGAGTGCCCTCAGAGAAAGTTCTACCACTATTTATGTCTGGCCTAGAACTTGGCAATCTTCCTTAGTCTCCTAAGTGTTAGGATTACAGGCATGTGCCATCTCATGCAAATCTCCAGGATTCTACTGGAGTTTTTGTGTATGTTTGTGTGTATGTGTAAGATGTTCTCAACGTGTGGCCTTGGTGTCTGTGTATAGGTCTGAGGTCCACCTTCCCGTGTTGACCTCATGCCACTCCATTTTATTCAGGACAAGGTCTCCTTACCTTGTGTAAGTGAGGCTAGTTGGTGCTCTGGAGCTTCTGGAGATTCCTGTCTGTGCCTCCCTTTTGTCTCTGTGCTGGGATTGCAGATAATACAGTGTCTGCCTTTTACATAGGCTCTGTGGAATCCAAACCTCAGGATATAAAGCTTGTGGACAAGTGCTTTTACTCACTGAGCTGTCTCTCCTGTTGTTATACCTGAGAATCTTAATTTTAAACTATTTAATTTCTAAAACATAGTTTTCAAAGTAAGAATTCTTATTACAAGTTTATGAATAGTTTCTTAAATGTTCTGAACTGAATGAGGTAAAATAGGGCATGTGTTAGTTTTTTAGTGATCGTTGTTGTCATGTTCTTTGAACTTGTCCCCCTTACCAGCTGTGAATGATTTGCTAGTCATTTTCTATTGCTTTGTTTTTATGTATCAGAAAGTTCAGTTTTGAGAATAGACTCATTTTCAGCTGTTAATGAAGCCTGCTTATTTTCTAGGTTCTACTAAAGCTAATCCACAGCTTCCTACTTGTCTACTCATTTCCCAGTTCTCAGTCCTCTACCAGGGAAGGGACTTAGGGCTCTGTCTTGGCTCTGCTCTCCTCCATCATGCTGCTCTGCTTCCCCTGTTCTAGGCTTCATCTGGGATGGAAGGGCATGGAAGGGAGAGTAAACACTCTTAAATGGAATGATATGCTTTTACTTTCTGTTTCTGTTGTGGAAATGTGTGCTCTTGGAAGTCTTTCTGTGCACCTATTACACAGACAGAACAGTCTATAGGCTTTCTGTACACAAATATGCATTCCCAGGCTTTACCAAAAAGAAGCACACTGAGGAAACCGAGAGTAGTAGTTACCTCTGGGAAGGGCAATGGCTGAGGATTGAGAAATATATGAACATCTGTGGAACATTTTTACTTCATTTGTGGATTCTTTAATTTAGAATAAAGTGAAAAGCTATATATTGAAAGTGGAAAAATTTACCAAAAGAAAATAATTTTCTTTTAAATGGAAAAATGCAGGGAAGGAATTTTTTAAATGTTTAAAAAATATTGCTATGTTCATTAATTATTTAAAATAGCTGCATTTTAAGGTAAGCTTTATGCAAAAGTATGGAGGATATGTTATACTTTGAGTTACTGTGCTAAATTTTTACTATGTGAGTGAGCATTGCTTTTAATATTTATTTTTAATTATATATACTTCTATGTATACACATGTGCATGTGTGCATGTGTAGAGGTCAGAGTTTGTGGGAGTTGGAACACAATGGCTTTACCCTCTCAGCTATCCTTTCAGCCCAGCTATTATTTTAAAAGTAACAGTTTGAGGCACAAGATACATATAACACAATGTGCAGGTTTTAAGTTTCCTTTTATGCATTGGCAAATATCTAGATAGCTGCCTGTAACTCCTGATAGTAAAGGTACAGGACACACGCTTCCTTCTACCAGGAAGTTCCTCTGTATTTTCCAGCGAACCACCCTGTCTTACTAAAGCGCTGCTCTGATTTCTGTTTCCATAGTTCTGCTGCTTCTAGGATTGCAATAACCAGAACTCAGTTGTGCCTGATGTCTTTCCACTTACCCCTGATTCCAATCGTATCCTGTTATATGAGTATACCAATTTGTTTATCCTTCTGTTGAGAATACTTTGTGTCCAGATTTGGTTATTATAAATAAGGCTACAGTGAAAATGGGTGACAAATCTTTCTAAATACATTGTTTTATTGATAGGTCAGACTAAATGCACATTTTACTTAATAAGAAACTGTCAAGCTTGGTTCCATTGTCATGCTATTGTACATATTTCATATGTACACTAGCGGTTAATGACAGGTCTATTTGTTCTTAATTTCTGTGAGCATTGCTATTGGTAGACATTTAATCTTTTAAGTTTTGCTTTATTTATGAAATGAAATGATACTTTTATTGTTTTAATTTGTATTCCTATGGTAAGTATGATATTAAGCAAGATTTCATAGATTTTTTTTTTTTTTTGATTTTTCGAGACAGGGTTTTTCTGTGTAGCCCTGGCTGTCCTGGAACTCACTCTGTAGACCAGGCTAGCCTTGAACTCTCGAACTCAGAAATCCGCCTGCCTCTGCCTTCCAAGTGCTGGGATTAAAGGTGTGCACCACCACTGCCTGGCGATTTCATAGATTTATTGGTTATTTGCCTACATTCTTTATGGAAGTTATCTTCCAACTTATTAATATAAAAATGATTTTTAATTGTAGTATATTAATGCATATTCATAAGTATGTGAAATAATTTCTCTTAATATTTGGTGTTTCTGTTCAGTTCTAATTTTTATTTCATTTTTGTTTTCTATACCACAAGGTTACAAACCTATTTTCCTTTATGATTCTAATATTTGTGTTTAGACTTATGATTTATTACATATCATTCTTTCATGGGTTGAAGCAGGGTTCACTTTTTTTCTCACATAGGTGTACAGTTGTTACCGATGTCACTGTTGAATTAGTAGGAAATCAGCTGTCTGTCGGTGTAATCCTGTTTTGGGCTCTGCTGTTTCATCTACCTGTTCTGTAGTAGTTTCAAATTGTCTTGATTACTGTAGCTCTCTAGTAAGCCTTGAAATTAGGTAGTGTTGTATTTAATTTTGGTTTTGTGGTTTGAGATTGTTTATTCTAAATTGTGCATTTTCATACTGGCTCTAGGGACACTTTGTCTAGAAAACAAACTCACTGACCTGTCGCTTGGCATTGTGTTGATTCTACAGATCTTTACAAAAGTCACATTTTGAGGTGTTCTTCCTTCCTTGTTTCTCTGTGTAGCCCAGGCAGGGCATTGACGCATGTGTTACTACAACCTAGCTTGAAACTGAAAAGAATGGATTTAGATGAAAGTGGGTGTTCATGTAATAACAGCTGACAGACTAGCCACAGAATACACATGTATTTGATAGCTGAGATTTCTAAAGGAAATGTGTGATTACGCCTTTCAAAGTCTCCAAGTTTTTAAAAGTGCCTTTTCATCTGTATATTACAATATATTCAATACATGTATATTCATGTGACATGGTGGTATGGCTGTAACTTGGGAGTCTGAGTTTGAATCAGGAAGATTCCACATTTGAGGCTAGGCGGTGATACATAGTAAGACCATGTCTCTAAGAGAAACTTTACTACTTATCTGCTCCAGCATCTCTTAGCCTTACGAAATTATTGTTCTTAAAGACTTAGTTTGAGTGTTACATAAAAAACAAAACAAAACATGTTTTTTCCTTGAGACATAGGAATGCTATGTTCTTATATCACTAGTTCTGTGACTCTTTCTAATATATAAAGAATAATAAATATTTGAGTAAATGAAGACAAAATGAGAACATCCTTTTGAAAGGCTAAAAATTAAGTACATTATAGTGAAGAAAATACTTTAATATTTAAAAATTTCAAAACATGTTCTATTTTTCTGCTTTTAAATAGAAGATTTATATTGATTTCCCAGACTTTGAGTACTCTTTTTTTTTTTTTAAATTGAGGTAACTTTTAAATTGCAGTGTCTAGGCTAGTCAGTGTGTATTGTTTTATGAATACTTTATTCTACTTTGTTATTTTAAAACAATCAAATTCCTAATTTTTAGGTTTTGTGTTTGTGGGGGAAGGGGAGATGCCTCAGGTGGCAAAGCCCCTCCTGCATGGGCGGGAGGACCTGTGTGTGGATCTTTAGCAGTCATGTCAAAGGCTGGGCATGTGTTCTCTGTAGCCCTATCACGGGAAGGGGCACGGACAAAGGGATCTTTGTTGGCCTGCCAGCCTAGCCAATCTGTGAGCACTGGGTTTATAAAGAGGCACCTGAGCTCAATAAAAGAAAAGATTGAGGAAGATACCTGTGGTGATTTAAATAAGAACATACCCCATAGGCACATATATTTGAACTCTTGGCCCCCAAATGGTGGTACTATTTGGGGAGGAGATACAGAGTTTTTTGGAGGTGTAGTCTTGGTGGAGGAAATACACCACTAGGGCTAGGCTTAGAGTTTATAGTTTTACTCCATTTACAGTTTGCTTTCTCTGTTTATTTGTGGATAAGATATAATCTCTCTGGAGGTTTGATGCCCCAGCAAGGGGAATGCTAGCTAGGGTAGTGAGGTGGGAATGGGGGTTGGGGAGTGGATGTGGGTGTGGAGGGGTGGGTGGGGAAGCATCCTCTGTAGAAACAGCGGGGAGAGGAGAAGGAGGATAACATTTGAAATGTAAATAAAACAACCAATTTAAAAAAAAGATATAATCTCTCAACCTCCTGCTCGGGACGCCTGTTGTCTCATCTTCCTCACCACAGTGGCCAAAAGAAAGTCTTCTATGAGCTGATTTTGATTATGGTGTTTTATCATAGCAACCAAAACTGATAAAGCACCGGATTTCTACCTCTGGCCTTTATATACATGTGCAGATATGTGCACCCACATTTTCATAGTCATATAAACATCTACACATATATGTACCACATGTATACACAAATACACACTTTTTTAAAAAGTTAATTTGTTCTTGTAATGTTTGGTATAAAGTACAGACATAAAAACTAACAGTTGATGTAAGACTCTCCTATGCTTTGATTCACTGACCTCAATAGATAACCTAAGCTTCTGTCATTTAATTTCCTAAATATATGTTACCTTTGTTGACAGTTTTCTCTTCTTAATATTATAGATCTCTGTCAGCACCAGCTTACATTAATCACCGAGAAGATAATTTTGAAGACATATTTTGCTGAGCAGACGACTGAGAAGTTGGCCGAATGGGATGAACACGCGTCACTTGACTGACTATCCACTGAAGTGTGAGTGCTGACGCTGCTCATAGGGTTCTGCTACCTAGTGATGCGCCTGCTCTTCCAGTACCCCATTTCATCCTGCTTGTCTTGATTAAAGAATTCAAAGTGGAGTACCGCAAACTTGATATGGATAATAAAAAGAAAGACAAGGACAAATCAGATGATAGAATGGCACGGCCCAGTGGTCGATCAGGGCACAGCACTCGAGGAACTGGGTCTTCTTCATCTGGAGTTTTAATGGTTGGACCTAATTTTAGAGTTGGGAAAAAAATCGGATGTGGCAATTTTGGCGAATTACGATTAGGTAAGATTGTTTTGTTTATTCCGTTGTGTGATGAACATTGTAAAAATGAACACATGTAAAAGTACTTTCTTGCTTTAGTTATAAGTTCTCAAAGTATATAGTTAGGGGCTTTAGTTGATCACTATTTCCCAAAATGCTGGTTATAAAGAATACAGGTCTTGAAACTTTCTTATTTGTGCTTTCATTTGTAAGGAATTCCCAAGTATCTAAATGTCTATTTGTTTGAGAATAACCATTCTCATTTCTTTAGAATTTGAAAAAACAAGAAAAAGTAAATTTAAAACACCAAGCAGGGGCTGGAGAGGTGGCTCAGTGGCCCAGAACACTCACTGGCTGCTCTTCCAGAGCACCCATGACAACTCAGAACCACTTGTAACTCCAGTTCAAGGAGATCTTTGCTTTCTTCTGATCTTCTTGAGTAGCAGGCTCAAGTACATAGGGCACAGATTGTGTGTGTGTGTGTGTGTGTGTGTGTGTATGTGTATGGATGTATGTAGGCAAAAAGCCCATACACATGAATAAGCCCATAAAAATGCCCCTAAAACTGAAAAAATAAAAATTTTAAAAAGGCCATAGCTTCTGGTAAGTCTTTTGCTATATAGTACATTTTTGAGGAATAATTAGGTTCTATTTTCATGTTTCAAACATTTAGTAAGTAACTGATCACCTTAGAGTTTTATATATTGCTTAAAGTCAAGATAGTGACTGAAAAATTAATGATGGCTGTGGTAAGGCTCGGGATCTTTTCTGTAACTGGTATCTCAGAGCATCTACTCATGCTATAGTTTGCGAAATACTGGGCTTACTGAAGCTCTAACTGTCCACTTCAGGAACCTAAAGGAAAACATGTCACATGCCACAGAGCAGTCAGTCTCATTCCCAGTACAGTAGAGCAGCTGTCTCCATTGAAGAGAAACAAGGAGTGTGGTCTGGTAATACAGGAATCAGTACTTAGGTAGCTAGGTAAATTAAGGGCTCTCCTCATTGGACCACCAAGACTGAACTTGAGGTGGAAAAAAAATTGGCTTTACAGTTTTCATTGAGTCCTACCTGCTGTTGAAAATAAAACAATTTGTATGTTCTGAGCTATCTCTTCTTATCTTGTAAAGCATACTAATTTATAGTGTCTCTTCTATTTCATTTGCTTTGTGTTGCTAATGTACATTAAATATGAATGAAGGAAGAAGCAAGGTAATGAAAGTTAGTGACATTCTTTGTACATAGCTATAAATGTGATGTAGTTGACAGATTCTTTTGCATTTAGTAAAGACTAAAATATTTGAAAGGGCACATATTTTATGGGTTTTTTTTGTGAATTAATTTGAATTTTCTAAGTTGTTTCTTACTTGGGAGTTAGAGAAATTATTTACTTTTTGTTAAACTTTCAGATCATCTATCCATTTCTTAACATTGGTCATATACTGAAAGATGTTTGTGAATTATTTTTCTAGGTTATTGTAAATAATAAATTTATGAGTATAATATATAAGATTAACAGAATATCTCTATAGGTTTTGGTTGTTTTTATTACAGTTCCCCACATAATTTAGAAATAACTTTTTAATATATAGTCTGTGTGTAGTGGGCCAACTTAACCAGAACAATATGAGACATAGCATCTCATGAGCTATATACTAAAATTATACTATGTATTGTGGACCATTCCTTTCTTTGTTTTGTGAATGAGCAAAATCAATGTGCCTGCTTAGTGTCTCTAATTTTATCCAAACAAATGATTATGTAGGATCTAAATGTGTTGTATATATGTATTTGCTACTTACATATTTATTTAAATATATTATCTATATCTGTATATCTTGAAAAGTCAAGTTAATATACAATAATGACATGAGACTTCCTGCAAAGATTTGTACGAAATCAGTTGTACCAAGATTGAGCTTGTTGAATCAATGAGTTTATTGGAGTTAATTTCAGTAGTCTAGGTGTGAGGCTACTCAAAGGCGGCTACATTACTGAAAACCAACCATACCTGGGTGCCAGCTCAGGACAAGTTGCATTTCTGGAGATCTCTGCCTGACTTACAGGCAGCTTGAATGGTCAGGATAGTGTCCTTCTCATTCATCTTGTGGGTGTGACAGTCTCTTCCCTAAGCAGCTGTTTATTGCTTCCATAAACAACCTTGAGGAGAGACCCTGTGAATTTTGGAAGGTGCAGACCTCTGGGATTTAGAAGATCATTTACTTCCTGAGCTTCATGCTTCATTCCCCTCTCCAGGAGGGAGTGTTTCATATACAACAGATACATATATCCTCTCTACTATAAATGTCCTCGCTTTATGGATAGTTAAGTATTTTACGTATATACACCCATATCCATATACATAAACGTACAGAGCTAAATTAGTCATTTTAAGTTTTGTTATTTAGAGACCACTAAGAGGGCAATTTATTACTGTCTTTTCAAAGCTCTCCATGCTTTCTTTGTTTAGAAAAATGTATAAGCATTTTGGTTTTGGTTGGCTCTAGCCGTCTAGTTGTTGCCATATAGGGAAGGGTCAGATGAGAGTCTGACGTCTCTAAATTACCCAAGGGTGTCTACAGCCTTAGTGTCTGCTTAGGGTCTTGTCTTTGGCTTATTGTTCATTATCTTTTATCTCACTAAGTTTTAGTGATGAGGCTTCTTCCTTAACGCCCCCCCCCCCTTATTTTGTGTGTTTGTTTTGCCTGTACGGATGTCTGTGCAGGCCAGAAGAAGCTGTTAGATCCCCTGGACTGGAGTTAAAGATGCTTGTGAGCTGCCATTTGGTTCCTGGGAATTGAACTCAGGTCCTCTGGAATACCCAGAAGTCTTTGTATATCTTTTTTAAAAAACGTTTTGTTTGGGGCCAGCCTGTTCTTAGAAAAAGAGCAGTCACTAGAGACTTAGGAGTATGCCTTGGCTATGAGAATTATCCAATCCCCAGCTTTATGTCTTTATGTCTTTATATCTTTATCCTCCTACATACCCAGGAATAATATTCTATTCAGTGCTATTATAGACTAGCCCTCTACCCAAAGATCAATGGAACTATGGAGACACAATAGTCCTAATCTGTTTATTTTGCCCTGCCCTTCTCCTCAAAACTCTTTATTAAAGGCTTTTGCTTAAACTTCCCTTCTGCCACCTAACCCAAACAGGGTGCGTTTACAACTTCCTATGGCTGTGGTTCTCAACCTTCCCAATGCTGTGACCCTTTAATACAGTTCTCATGTTGTGTGACTCCAACCATAAAGTTATTTTCATTGCAGCTCCATAACTCTAATTTTGTTACTGTTATTAATCTGTTATTAATCTTGTTACTGTTATTATAAATGTGACTCATAATGTAAATAAAAAATTATAATACAAATATCACATTAGGTGATCCCTGAGAAAGCATGACTCTGCACCCAGAGGGGTCATGACCCACCAGTTGAGAGCCACTGCTCTAAGACATTCTATGTAACCTCTTCATACTTGTGAATATAACAAGCTTTATTTCCCAGAGTTTCACTTCTGTTTTCTGGTGGCAGTGCCTGATTGACATTACATTAAAAACAAAAACAAACTCACAAAGTCAGAACAAGGGTATTATATATTACTTTATGAATTAGTATATCTAAAATAAGATGCTGTGCCTTTTGACATAAGTGAGTTTACCACAGGAGTTTTATAGCTTTTCTTATTTGTTTTTTCCACTGTTCTTGTTCCTCACAACTCCTTATTTGGATGCTTGTGTGTGAAAATTATGATGTTGAAATTCCATATGCTTTATATCTCTATGACATAAAGGTTTGAGTAAATTAATCATATTTATGTTTATTGATGTTTTTCTTTAAAAATGTTTGAAAATGTAAAAATATGGGGATGGCAAGATGGCTTAGTGCACAAGGAGAGTTGTCGCCAAGTATGACAAGTTTAATCCTTGCTGCCTTCATGCTGACAAGTGAGACTGACTTGTACAGGTCATTCTCTGTCTACTACATGTACTCCATGGGCACATCTATGCCCTGACGACCCCCTCCCCCAATAAGTAAATAAATGCAAGCAATTTAAAAATTGATAATGATGCTATGGCAACAGATTTAAAAATCCTCAAATACAGTAAGTAATTTTAATCAAATTCATTTTCTTTCACATAACACAGACCAGAGGGAGAATGCTGAAGATATGTCTGTGTCTTCCGTGTGTGGGCTGAAGTGTCTGCAGGGTGATCTCACTAGCTGTTACTCCTTTCCAGTTAGCCAAACAGAAGGATGAAGAATCAGGAACATTCTATTCTTGGAAATTGGAAGTGTCATACTTCATGGGCATTGGTGTGAAGTTAGTCACCTTAAGCTGAAAATGCCTGGAAAATACAGTTTATAGCTGAACAACTATTTTTAAATGCAGAGTTAATATTGATGGACAGCTACTAGTTCCTGCTTGACACATAAATGTAACATCTGAAGGTCATCATTTTCTCTAATAACTGCTATTCCACTATGTTGGTAGAACCTCTTCAGGTTCAATACAGCAGATAACTGAATTGGAAATCCACTTGAGATAGATTAAGATATCAGAACACTAACCCCAGTCCATTTGGAACCTTAATGAATCTGTGTATCCCCTCCTTCTCCCTCCTACCACACACACACACACACACACACACACACACACACACACACACACAC